ATATAAAAAGAATAAATATAACTATGCAGTATTTATATAATATACACATAAATATACACACAAATATTTACTTTTTTTTCTCATATATTTTATGTAATACATGCAAATTTAAATGAGTTTAAAGTTTATTAACAATGTATAAGTGGAAAAATTGCAAATGAATTGTCATCGCTAGTAAGTTTGACACATTTGGCTTTCACTATTTGAAGTTGGACAATTTGCAGTGCACCCAAGTGCATGGCTAAATAAATATTTAGGTTTGAAGATCTACACGGAAATACATATAAATCAAGAAGCCTAGTAAACTTTCTTGCAATCAGGATACGTTGATTGCTTTCTGTTGATCGAGCGATATTCTCCAATATGAAAACCTCATTTTCGATTGTCAGAAAGCAGTTGTTGGGACTACTACATTTTAAGGTGAAAGTTTCAAATTTTACTGATGTGTATTGCGGTCCATTGGTTGCATCTATGAGTGGACCCTTTATGTGTTGTTTTGAAAACTCAATATTTTCAAATTTATTGGACTTTTTTACAGGTAAATTTATCTTTCTTTCATGTTCACGCTTTACTATCTGTTGTAATGGGTTAGGTGATGTCTTCAGCATATTTCGAATATACCTATTTGCATTCTCAAACACAAATGCAGAGTATTTTTCAATCGGCCCAAATTTCCTCACATCATTAGCTATATGGATTAGAGAGTGGATATTAGCACTCACAAGATAGTTTCCATATAGCATAGAAAAATCAGAAACAAAATTTTTAAGTAATTTTTCACAATATGCAATCTCAGGAGGAGTTGCTTGTCTAGCAAGAATACTTGTAGCAACATGTAAATTTAAAAAATGACAATATAGAGCTTCATTTCTTTGCGAACCATCAAGTATTTTTTTCATAACAAGAGGACCAATATAAAGTAAAAAAAGACGAAATTCTGTGGCTTTGAATAATGCTAAGTATGTTAGTTCTCGAGGGCGACGTTGAAACTCCAATGGGATTTCATTACTAATGGTCATGATTTTATCAGAGACTTTGGCTCTTATTCTTATATTAAGCTTATTTACAGATGGCGCTTTTCCGAATAACTCTTTTAAAATTTTTTTTACGGTGCCAATGTAAATTTGGTGCATAGGGTCAATAACTACCATAGTTACTATATCTAAGAAAGGTATTTGCTCAAGGGGTGTTTCACCATGGTGATGTTCCGGCTGTTGCCTAGCTCTGAAGGATGCATCTGTTCTAAGCGCTGCGTCAATCTCCAAGAAAGCCTGTCTGTTGTTTATTCTTTCTCCGATCACTTCACATTTTGTACAGGAACATTCCCCTGTATGTCCAATTGTATTAAGGATGAAATTTTTAGCTGGAAGGTCACAAACAAAACCACTTATTCGAACATTAAATTGTTTATTTTCAAAATCAATCCCCTTGTTGGACAGTTCAATGCATTCTTCAACAAAATCACTTAGGTATAAATTTAATGAATCAGGTTTTTTAAGTCCATGATATACACCGATTTTAAAGACAGAGACTAAATCTAAATTATTCACTTTCCCCAATATTGATATGAACTGGCTTGTACTGCTTTTACTAATACTAATACCATCAATGTTTATTAATATTGCAAGAGTACTATTATTTTCCAAAATATCATTTGTTTCTTGAATTGATTGAATTAATCCTGCTCTGATTCCAAAGTGATAGTAATGACCAGGGGGAACCTCTCGTAGCACAATTCTATCTGTAAGAGTTCTTAGCAAGGCTTTACGTGTTTTTGGTAATTCATCATTGAAACACTTATGCTTTCTTAGCTGCTTTAATAGTTTATTTGTTGCACTTTCAGGTAAAGCAGACTCCACCACAAAGGTTGCCAACTCTTGTTTAATATTTATTTTTTCGTCACTTGAAAAAGAGACAGGTTCATCTGATGAATCATCTAGTATAGGAGGCAGAGGAGTATGAGGAACTTGTGTTTGGGAAGTGAGTGGTTGAGGAAGTGGTATCTGCATAGGTTGCAATACTAGTGAAGGTGAATCAACTAGTTGATGAAGAGGTATTTCAGTAACCAAGTTCTCAAAATCTACATTGCCACTGTTTGAGTCTGTATCAGAGCTATGATTTATTGCAGCTTGCTCTCTGTAATACTTTAATCTTTTGTAGGCCTGTGAGCGTGATAGCTTATGAAATGAAACTCTCTTGTGCATATTAGCTGCAAAAATGATTTATTGTCAAAATATAAAAATTTATATGATGAATGATATATAATTATGTAATAATAGTAAAAATTTTAACATATTATTTAAAACATCTAGTGCAAATTATAGTTAAAATTTTAATAACACTTTCTTTTTATTTAGTTGATATTTTACATTATTGTTAATTTATTCTGAACAAAAATTTACAGTAGAGTTATAAAAATTTACATACCTTTAAATGCTGGTCTGTATACAACTGTTATTTGGAGTAAATCAGCAATAAAAACTGAAAAACTATATAAATAAAAAAAACTTGTAACATTATTTGCTGACAATTATATATTAAATTCAAAACATATTTATGAACATAAACTTTAAATCCTAATTCATTATATCGTATACGAGCAATAAATATTGTTTTACCAATACATATTGCATAAACTTTAAAGAATTTGATCACAGAAAATAAAATTGCATATCAATACATATTTCTGCTTTTTAACAATTAAATTTCATGAAACGGTTAAAAACATGCGCTGTTAAAAACATGCGCATGCGCTTTAATGCAACAATTAGCGCATTTTTGCAAATGCTCTTTCGGAAGAGTTCTGCAAAGAACCCTACCAACTATAACATCATTTAAACGACTAAACTAAAAATTAATATCATGCACACGAAAAATCTAATACATTACTTAAAGGTGCTAACTATTGTATAGAGTATATAATTTTTATATAAAAAGTGAAACTGATTCAATATATAGGCATTATAAAATTTACTCTTTAATCTACTCTACTAACGGAGCTTATCATAGAGTTCCAGGAGCTCTTCCAGAGCTCTTTTTTCTCAGTGGGAATATTCAGCCAATATTTCCTTCGATCTGCATTTCGCTTCGCATTTTTAATACCGATTTCAGTGGTTGAAAGAGAGCGTTCTTTCAGTAAGCTTGCTCTCATCAAATCCAATTGAGATCAACAATGACTGAAGAAACCTTATGGTGATTTCAATTGAAAACGACCTTGCCAAGACTTTATCGTACGAAAATGTTATTTCTAGTTTCGCAAGGAAGAAAGCCTGCAAAGTGAAATTAGTGTTATTTAACTAGTCTTCAAAATTAACATTTTATTGATGAAATATATAATTTTATTTATTTTAAATTGTATCTGTATTTTCTTTTTATCATATAACCAATATCAAATATAGAGTATTTATGTGCAGCGGTAGTTAATACAAAAATAATTATTGTTTTCAATAAATTGTAATCTGTTAGTAGACATACGGACAATAAACTGTGGAATTCATGCTTAATATACCCAGGAATCCAAAGTTTGGGGTACCGAACAAAAGTTGACTCTGGGCACCACAAAGACTCTGTGTGGGCCTGTTTGTTACAACAATATTTTAAATATAAGAATATAAAATATTTGTTTTGTAAATCCGGCAAATATACTAACAATTGGTAATCTAATCTAGATATATATTAATTCAATTCTAATCTAGACATTTAACATCAGCTACTTCAAATAACACAGCATGAAAAAATAACTATAAATAAACAATAAATATGACTTACTAACTTTTTAGAACTTTTTTTCTTTTATTTGTAATGTTTGATTGCTTATGACGTTTTTAAAAAATATATAATTAGATAGTTTTGTTAAAAAAGTGGAGTGTGATTGGATAACTAATTGACAAGATTTTACGCGGTATTTCATAAAATACTATGTTCTCTTGCGTGAAGGGTTCTAATCCTGTTGGTTATCTCGCCTAGTAGGGGAGAGTGTGTATGAAAGAGCCAGGTTTTGAAAGAGCCGATGCCGTTATTTCTAACTTCCTGGCACCCAACCATAATTGTTTTTTACTGTGTGTGTGTCAACACTGTATACAAGTCACCCACAAAAAATTTATAGTTCTACTAAAATAAATAGCGCCGTTAGGCTGCACTAAATATTTTAAACACAAAAAGTAATTTTTTGGGGGTTTACTTATTTGTTTTTAAGATAAAGTGTATTTTATTATTTGATAAAAGATATATGCCTCGTTGTTATATATATATATTTGCCCTTCATTTACACAAAAAATATTAGATTAAAGTTTCGGTAAAAAATGTTTAATTTGAGTTTATTTTTATAAACATACAATTTGTTGAAAGAGCCGACTTTTTATGCTACGAATGAGCCGGTTTTTTCTATTTAGTTATTTTTTAAACTAATTAATTGTTTCGCGCTTTAACGACTTCATATATTTTTCGTAACGCTTCAATGAGCTTATTCTATCTAAATAAGTTGTTTTAATGACTTTTCCTGAAGTTGTAAAACGTAGCTCCGTTAGAATTTAAAATAATATTTAATAAAAATTTTAAGTCAAGGTTCTGAAAAAGTCATATTTTTTTTTTAAAGTATAAATAATTTTTTTAAACTTTTTTTGTATTGTTTGAATCATTTTATTTTACTATTATGTATTTATTATATTATTATGTATATTTATTATGTTATTTCCTTATTCTCATTCTCATTTCATATTTTTTATCATTAAGAGAAAAACATGTCATCAACTACTAATAAGCGACAAAGGCCCGCAACTTCAGCAATAGAAATGGCTGTAAGGGAAGTGAGTGCTGGCAACCAGTCCATCAATAAAACAGCGTTGGTGTTTGGAATATCGAGAGCCTATTTAGCAAAAGTGATTAAAAAGGTTGGCAATACTGAGGATCAGTATGTGCATTGCCCAAATATAGGTAACAGGCGCATTTTTTCTAAACATTAAGAGGATTTATTAGTTTCGTATCTTAAAACTGCATCTAAAATGTGTCACGGTTTGACAAAAAAACAAGCAAGGGAACTAGCTTTTCAGTATGCAGAGGTGAATAATATTTGTCCTGAAAGATGGAAGGGTGATAAAATAGCATCTGTGGAATGGCTTCGTGGCTTTATGATGAGGCACAAAGATTTGTCAGTCAGGAAACCTGAAAGCACATCTTTGTCCAGAGCAACAAGTTTCAACAAAACAAATGTTAACACGTTCTTTGAAAAGCTAACCAGCATTTACAAAAAGTATAGATTTCCATCACACATGATTTTTAATACGGATGAAACAGGATGCAGTACTGTTTCAGCTCCTCCAAATATTATAGCTGCAAAGGGATCAAAACAAGTAGGGCAGGTTACATCAGCAGAACGAGGTACACTTGTGACTACTCTTTTTTTTGTTAATGCTGGAGGTGGTACTATACCTCCTGTGTTTATTTTTCCTCAAGTAAATTATAAGGATCACATGTTGAATAATGGGTCTTCTGGAGCATTGGGTTTATCACATGTTTCAGGATGGAAGACTGAAAATAATTTCGTTAAAGCAATGGAACATTTTGTAAGTCATGTAAAACCAAGTGAAAATAATCCTGCTTTATTAATATTAGATAATCATATCTCCCATGTTAATCTTCGTGTGATAGAATTTGCTAGACAACATTTTGTAAAAATTCTAACTTTTCCACCACATTGCAGCCATAGGTTACAGCCTTACATACAGAATAACTATGAATGATTGGATGCTATCAAATCCTGGAAAAACAGTAAGCATTTATCAGGTTGCGCAGTTAGTTAAAGATGCTTTTTTAGCCGCTTTCAGCATGAAAAATATTACAAATGGATTTATCAAGACTGGCATTTACCCTTTAAATTCCAACAACTCTGACGATGATTTCCTTACATCTTTCGTAACTGATAGACCTGAGCCAGTTCTTTTAGATGATGCTACTCCACAAAACTTGATATTCTTAACACAACTCAGCACTGCCCATATTGATGCTTACATACTTGATTTTGATGTCCATACAGATGTTCCTCGAAACTCAAATGTTAAACCCGCAAAAACAGATAGTTTGGCTAAAATAATAACATTGTCAGAATCTTTAATACAACCATCAATATCACAGCAACAAGTTGTTAGTCCTGAAATTGTAAGGCCTCATTTAAAATCAGGACCTAGAAAGAATTTAAAATCTAAGGATCGTAAAATGGCCTCTGCTATAATCACAGTCACTCCTGAGAAAAATAAAATTGAAGGGAAAGAAACAAAAAAACATCCTAAAAAAAGTGTTATTAAGAAGTTTAAAACAAAAAAATATAGATAAAAAAAGTATGATTCCATTGATTCTAGTGGTACCATATTGCACAATGATGCAAGCTCCAATGATAAAATAGATTTATCAGAAATAAAAAAATAGAATGTTTGTGAAGGGGATGATAAAAATCATTGTATTACATGTAATGGACAATATGGTAAGACCAACGAAGAATGGTACCAGTGCAAGGTATGTGAAGGATAGGCACATGAATCTTGTGGCTTCAAAGGTGTGATTAACTTCTTCTGCCAAAAATATTTCTGATGTTTTTGTAGTTTTTGATTTTGTAGTTTTTGATTTTGAATAATTTGGAAAACTATTATTAAAGCTGTTTTATTATTTGTTTTATCATTGATTATCATAGAGCTATAAAACTTTAAGTACAATCTGATTTTTAGAAGTCTATTTAACAGTTCAATATTTAAAAAAGACTTGATAGTGTTCAAAAAAAAATTACGGCTTATTTATGGCACAGTGGTGGCTCTTTCATTGACACAATGTTATGAAAGAGCCGTTTTCTATCTTTTTTTAAAATAGGATTTTAGCATTTTTATCCAATTTATTTTAATTCTATAATATTACCCAATAAAGTAACTATTTAAAAAAAAAAAAAATTAACCCCAATTGACTTTTTTTTATTCCTTTTTAAAACTGGCTCTTTCATACACACTCTCCCCTACATATGCAATTTAAGTCATTACATAATTGGGTTGGGGTTGCTAACCGACTTTCTGACTGGGTTTGCTTGTGAAATGACAATTCCTTGTAGATTTTTCCAAGGTAATAAAAAAAAAAAGTAGCAGCAGGCTATAAGATAGTCGATGTAGCAACACTTACGCATGTTTATATATATATATATATATATATATATATTATATATATATATATATATATATATATATATATATATATATATATATATATATATATATCTTTGTTCGATATTGCGAGGGATTGCTTTTATTATGCTTGGAGGGTGGTTAGAATTAGAGTGGATGTACCTTATTTGATTATCAGGTTTAAAATATGGTTGAAACGTACGTTACTTAGATTTAACGTAACATCGCAATATCGAACAAAGATTATCTTCCATGTCAGTTAATGAAAATTTCTTCAAAAAGGCTATTCCACCGTATGAAGAGGCTTTAAAAAAATCGGGATATAAATCGAACCTTACCTACCAACCACAAATAATCTCAAGTCAAAATCAAAAAAAAAGCAACGTAAACGTAATATTATTTGGTATAACCCTCCGTTCAGCTTAAACGTCAAAACAAAAATAGGAAACCGTTTTCTAGCCCTTATTGACTTACATTTTCCAGCCGGTCACAAGCTACATAAAATATTCAACCGAAATTCTGTTAAGATTAGCTACAGTTGCATGCCTAACCTAAAATCTATCATAAATTCGCATAATTCCAAAATTTTACACAGCAAAAATCAATTAAAAACCAACCAATGTAACTGCGTAGATAAAGCGTTTTGCCCTTTGAACAATCAATGTTTATCTAACAATATTGTCTATCAAGCAACCGTAGGTTCCAGTCATCATGATCGTAATAAAAAAGTATATTTTGGCATTAGTAATACACCATTTAAACTAAGATACGCAAACCATCTCAAATCATTTGCATCAATTAAATATAGAAATGACACAGAACTATCTAAGGAAATATGGAGTTTAAAAGACCAAAACATAAAGCCTATTATAGAATGGAAAATTGTCAAACGTTGTAAACCTTACAATCTAGCAACAAAAATATGCCACCTTTGTCTCTACGAAAAATATGTAATTTTATCGCATAATGGAAAAAATCTACTAAATAAAAAAAACGAAGACGCATCTCAGTGTCGGCATTCAAAAAAGTTCCTATTATCTTTATTTGACACAGAGGACTAATAAATTATAACGGCTTTTTGTTTTTTGTTTTTTGATTTGTTTTTTACGTAGATTTGTTTATAACGTCAGATGTCATTCTACAGTAATTTTTACGTTTTTGTAACGGTTGGTTTACGTTTTTTGTTTGTATTAACGGCTGATGATTGCCTTCGGGCATGAAACTTTAAGTCCGGCTAATCAGTTGTTTTTATTCATCTAAATATAATTATATATATATATATATATATATATATATATATATATATATATATATATATATATATATATATATATATATATATATATATATATAAATATATATATATATATATATATATATATATATATATATATATATATATATATATATATATATATATATATATATATATATATATATATATATATATATATATATATATATATATATATATATATATATATATATATATATATATATATATATATATATTAGATGCTGCACACAAGTCAACGACAATCAGCTCACAAATAATCACATGTTTAACCTATCCGATTTGTATTAACAAAAAGATTCAATTTTTTTAAAAATTACTTTGTTCAAAAATATATAATTTTGTTTTATACTTGTGTTTTATATTTTAACTGCTTAATTCTATTTTAAATAGGTATTTTACATGTCTTATTACATCATTCCCAAGTAATTTTGAATGTAAGTCGGCTGGTCGATCAAAATCTGTAGTGTTTTTGAATAGTCGCGTTTAGCTCGGCTGCCGACATTGGACCACCATCAATTTTGTCCATACGGAATCGCGTCGGACCGCCATCGCAATCCTATGGTTTGTCCGAAATCGCGTTAAATCAACATTGGCCAGCCGATGGTGGTCCGACGCGATTCCGTATAGACAAAATCGATGGCGGCACCCGAGCTCGGCCCGACATCGGCCTAAACACAGGGATATATATATATATATATATATATATATATATATATATATATATATATATATATATATATATATATATATATATATATATATATATATATATATATATATATATATATATATATATATATATATTTATTTATTTATATATATATATATATAAAATAATGTATATATATACACATTATTTTTTTTCTGAGGAGAGGGGAAGGGAGGTACTGTAAGTATTTTTTTTGATTTATAAACGACGAAAGGTGGTAAGTAGAAAGCTGATCTATTAATACTGTGTTTTTCGGTATAAATAATTTTTTTCATTGCTTTCTATAAGTTTGAGAGTCCGATTCATACCTTGCTCACATAAAGTTGAATTTTCTCATTCTTCGCAGTTTCAAATATGTAAACCTTTTAAGTAATTAATTTTGACTTCGTCAAATCATGTAGTTGTTAAAATAATTGTCAACTAAATATAAAGTGCGAAATGATACTTTTTTTTATTTTGTTATGTGAATAAATACATACAAAACAATTTTCAAAGTTTACTTATTGATTCAGGCTACACAAGTTCCTTTCTTGTATCAACTTAAGTAAAACTGTAGAAAGTTATTCTAATGATTTCAATGACATCATCTAATGATTTCACTGACATTTAAAAAAATAAAAACTGTTCATTTGCTTAAAAAATCACGAGATAATAAGTATAATAACTTAAATTTAAAGATCAAATTATAATAACTAACTAAAATTAATTTATCCCTTTTGGATGACCACAAATGATGATTATATCACAATACAAATAGTTTTTTTCTTTTCTATACTCATCTATAAGATCATTACGTACGAGGGTTTGTTGTTGTTGTTGTTGCTGTTGTTGTTGTTGTTGATGATGTTGTTGTTGTTGTTTTTGTACGTACAAGGCTAAAGTGTTTGGTTTATTTCTACTTATGAATTTTTAATTTCACGTTAATCTCACGTGAAACTTATTGCAAAGTTGCAAATGAAAGGGGCTTGATGATTAGTCTGCAATCTTCTACTTGCTCCTGTCATTAATTTAACTTTTATCTATATAAATGTATACATATAAATATACTTGTATTTATAATTGTATTATGTAAAATAAATAGTGACAAAATAAATTACAAAAAAAAAAAAAAAAAAAAAAAAAAATTAAAAAATCGATAAGTTTAGGAATAGTTTGACTAGAAGTGAGCATTTGAATGTTTTTTATCCTCAAATAAATAAACTTGATTAGAATAAAATAAAGACATTTTTAAACTTATCCTGGTTTTAAATCAATTTGGTATTATATATGCACTTACGAATAATTTTTCTTTTTCCGTTTTGTGATTGTTAAACGTTTCTATATTCCGGCAACCTTTAAGAAATATTTTTAAGGAATAATATAAGTTTGCGATAGTCACATTTTGTAACAATGAGTTTGCTAATAATTCAATAGATTCTAAATAATTTTCATTGCTTTTATTATTCCAAATGATTTAACCATTATCTTCAAAAGCTAATCCTCTAGATGGATAACTGGGACGAATATTTAGAGTATGTTCTCTATGTATAACTTTCACGTACTAGATGTATAGTACTGTTGTCCCAAAGAGCTCTTAAAGGGGAAATATTTTGCCAACTTAAATCTTTTTCTTGATTCAAACAGTAAGTCATAAGAAATAAAAAAAATATAAATAAAATAGTAGCTTGTTGCTATGGTAACCAAAAAAAATAGCTAAATACACAAAAAAACAACAACAACTGAATTCTACGCTGTAAAGAAATAAAGGAAGAATGAATATAGGAGAGATAATGTAACTATGCAAAACTATTCTAAATGTTTAAAACTGTGATATAAGTGAAGCTGATCTATAAGTTTTTTGTTTGTAAAAAAGTAAAAACAAATTGAGTAATAAAAAAAAGCTTAAAATAAAATACAAAAAACTTGATAACTCAAAATCTAAAGTTTTATTAAAAATTCTACTCCATTCATATCATAAATATTGATAAAATAAACAATCCCTGAAAATTTCATCATAATAGCATTTATAGTTTTTTGATTTTTTTTTACTGCGCGCTTTGGAAAACGCAAAACAAAAAATAAAATCATAAAAAATAATATTTGTAAGATTAAACTTAGAAAAGTATGACTTTTTGGAAAAATATGTTAAAAGCTACCAAGTTCATAGTATTCTCTGCATATAAGTGTTGAAATCATAAAAACCTTCGTTTTTTACCTTAAAACATTCACTCGTCTCAAATAATATCTGTATTAATTTCTTGTTTCTAAGTCTGTAACCAGCTAAAGTAAAGTGCCCTGTTTTCATTTTAAGTCTTTCATAAATTTAAATATTAGACTTATACCTATAATAATATTTATGTGGTTTCAAATGTGGGAGACATAGCTTTTTCATACTTTTGTTTATGTTGTTGTATAAATAAGCTTTGATAAATTGATAAAATCGTATTTTAGACGCAATATTAACTGGCTATGTCTGCATATAATAAGAAACAAAATACTAGGTAGCAAATAGGATATAAAACTTAGTCTGCATTTGAAACAAAGATTCTGAAAAAGTACAGAAAAATAAGTGCATTCTCTTTAATGCTATGCGCGTTGCTGGGAACATTTTTTAAACTTAGGTTTAAAATAAAAGAAATAAGGAAAAAAAAAATATTAAGAAACATATTATTTTTTTTTGTAGATTAGATATCTTCAAAAAGCTAAACTTAAATCTAAATTAAATCAAAGAACTAAACTTTAGTCTAAAAACTTAAATCAAAATGTCCTAAAAAATGCCCTTCCCCCGAGACCACCCTGTATAGTAATATATCTATTATTTAGTATTATGTTTGTGATATAACTTTAAATTGCTTCCCCGAATTTATCTTTTTTGTAGGGAATTGTTTGTTCTAGGAAGATTCGATATTCAATAATAGTTTAAGAGGATAAGATACTCTATTATAGTTAAAAAAAATTAATAAACGCAACTGGATAACAAAAAAAAAAAGAGAGGCAGAACGATTTTGCTTTGCTGAACGGCGTTCCCCTGCGTTCCCCTACTTTAACCTCTACAGTTTAGTAACTACCAACATAGTCACTTTCTTATGACTACGGTAAGTCCAAGTCAGTTCTCAACTCCGAACTTTTTTACTTAAGTTATATTAGAATGTTGTGTTCAAAGTTGCGCTGAGCAGAGCATAAATAAAAATCCCCTAAAATTAGGCATTACCCGTCAACATGTGGGGATTTATAAATTATTATTTCTCAATTTAAATTATTAATTATTATTTATTAAAATATATGAAAATTTACTCGAGTATTTAAAATTTCATTAATATATCATCGTACAAATATCTTCGGGTAATTTAGTTGACGAAATTGTCATTTGTGAGGGCTTCATTACTTACTCAGCTGAGGATTTGGGTTCAGGCATGTATGATCTAGATATAAAGGAGTTTTATTACAACAAAATTAAATATTTGAATTCTGAAAATAATAAGTAATATTTAAAAATATAAAATCTGCAAAGTTAATTGAATAATATTTTATTATGTGTTCTAAAAAATGTTGCAAACATAAATTTGTTAAAGTAAGTGATTAAAACTGTCTTCATCACTTAATAAGACACAAGTCAAATTTGTGATTTCTACTGTTTGCAGTGGTAATTCATTTTTCTTACAATGTATTTGTTTTAAAAAAAGTTTATTTTTTAAAAACGCATTTTTTATTGGTTTTTATTTTAACAATTTTTTTAGAATATATTTATTATAATGCATAAAATTTTTTAAAAAATTCTTCTCAATAAAAAATTATAAAATTAAACAAATATATTTATGTTTTTTTGAGGGTTTAATTATGAATGTTAACGAATATAGTAAGCAAAATAGAATCAGTTATGTTTTGCTATCAAATGTTCCTGAAATTACAAAAACTGAACCTTGCTGTCTTGGTATAGATGAGGCAGGCCGTGGACCAGTTTTAGGTAAAATTAAACAAAGTTTGTTTTTTTCATCAATAAAAAAATATGACTTGTTTATACAAAGTAGTAGTACCAATTTAATAGTGTCATTTTCTTTAGGTTTTCATAGGTTTCTAAAATTTTAGAATTAATGATTATACTTATCATCTTATTTATTGATTGTTTGATGTTAAAAATTTTTGACTTTAAAGATTTTAATTACAACTAATCTGTTGACAAGTTTTAATTACAACTAATCTGTGTTATTTAAGTTTTTCCCTAACCTCTCTTTCCTCCTCTCAGTAGGCAGGATATTAAACCATGATCAGGTCAGGTTCAGGATCATCAGGATCACTCTGCTACTGGTATTATGTAACCCAGTATAACCAGCCCCTAGGAGAAAGAGTCTGACTTTAAATACCCCTGTGCTAGGGCTCTTTATTAAGTAAAGGCTAGAGATGGTGTCTCAATAAAAATACTTATCTTGGGCAGATGTTAACTGCATCCAGCTAATGTCTTGTAGAAAACCTCCAAGAGAAAGTCTTTAGGGGTAAGCAGAATGATTCTGTTGACCAGCCTTGTGCCCTTTCATCTTTTAGACTGGCATAGATGTAAACTTGTGTTATATTGTTTCTCTACTCATGGGCTTTTACTTGTGTCTCCTTGATAATGGCTATGCAACTCTTTCTGTTATTACCTAATGAGGGCACAGCTCTAAACTCAGTTTAGTGGTTCTGAGGTTGGCTGGTAGTAAGGTTTCCCAAACTCTATGGTAGCTCTCAGAGAGTATGATTCCATTAACAGCTAATGTTAATGATTCCATTAACAGCTGTAAAATAGTATTAAAAGTACCATGTTAAGCATATATAGTATCCTTGTTAGTGCTTTTGGTGTGCTTTGTCAAAGTCACATAAGTAGACCTAAGTTACAACTTTAAGTTAATTAGCAGAACTGAAATAATTGCATATCTCATTATTTGGGATTTTATTCTCTATCTATGAATGATTCAAGTTCTTTTTAACTTAAACTATGTCCAAAACAACTAAAAATATCAAACATAAAAAACCATCACCACCACCTAACTGTTTCATTATATATTTCACAAATATTTGTGGTCTTAAAAAAACTTTCCATCAGTTAAATCTTATCTCTTGCAAAATTCACCATACTTGCTAGCTCATTGTGAGACTAATTTAAATTCGCTGTTCCTTCTACAGATGTCACTATTAATGACTACTATCCTTCGATTCACAAAGGCTTTAATAGTCACGTGCTTGGCTATACTTGGTATACTTATGCATCAATTCACTTATTTGTGGACCAATCTTTTATGTGGTTCTGGTTAGAATCTTCACTCTATAACCTTTCTCTTTAGTTCTTTATCATTCTCTTTCTTCTAAAGACTGTACTCTTTTAGATATAATTTCTGATCAAACTAATTATGCTCTTTCTTTTTACCCCTCTGCTAATATTGTTGTTATTGTTGGCTTTAATACTTATTGAGCTGAATGACTCCGATACCACTTACTCTGCTGGCACTAAAGCCTATAACTCAAATAGTCTAATTTAAGTATGAAATTGAGAAATACAGTGTTTCTCAATTTCATACTTACATAGTTTACTTATACATACATACAATTTCACATTTAAATAGTTACATACTTTGTGATTCATTTTCCAGACAACCCTAATCGCCTCCCCTTACTTCTTTATTTTTGAAAGACCTCAGACCCTAAATTGTGTTCAGTTTCTATTATAGGTGGTTCAACCATGCAATGATCTCTATAAATCTTTCATCTCATTCTCCTTCTTTGGACTCATCCTATAATTGGATGATAATAAAAGGGTATTTGTTTGTATTTGTTTTTATTATCACTATTTATTATTACTCTAAGGTTAACTCTACTCTGAAGTTAATTCTACAACTTTTATTATCACTACTTATTATTAGTCTAAAGTTACTCTAAAGTTAACCAATTTTTTTAGCGGTTTATTTTATGACAGTCTTTGTGATGATGACTTTTCTCTCTTTGCCCCTGGATCCAGCTAGGTATAGAAGTTTTTATTCCTACTTGTTGGTTTCAAATCAAGCCTCATTTTACTACATGGTTTTTACCTTCTTATGCAGCTGCTATATCTAATCAAAAGCAATTTTAAAAATATTGTTCAATAGAACACCCAATTTAGAATAAATGTCTTTTTATTATTGGAAGAAATACAATAATAAAAAAAAACATTTTCTCTAGTTCATCTCTTGAATCTTATAACCATACTCTTCCAGCCATTCCAGTTAAAAAGCTTATAGCATTGTAATACATTCACCTCACTCCGTCTTCCGTTGTTAAAGTCATTTTTTAATTAAATTCTTTTACTTTTTCTATTGCCTAGAACAGGCTGCAAATCTTGAATTTGATCTCATTTCTGTAACAGCTTGGTGCTAGAAGTGGCTTGTGAATCTTAACTCCAGCAAAACTTAGTTATTCACTCCAAACAACTACCACAATACTGTCAATGTTCCCATATTAATAAATAGCAATCCTCTCACTGAATCCTTTTGTTTATGTATTCTTGGATTATCACTCACTACTGACTTCTCATGGAAACCATATATGCAATCGATTGCAAAGTTAGTAATTTATAAAAGGCAGACAAATGCCAAATATTTGATGAAAAATAAAAAATAAAATTAGAGCAAAAATAATTAATGTCTTTCAGCCAAATTAAAAAATTATATAAACAATTGTCTACAAAGCAACTGGATGATTAAGACGTTATTATGTCTGAAAAAGTTGTTGGTACATATTTATGCCATGAATGGTATGATACTGTCTAAGTTTGTCATATATGGTGGTTTATGGCGGCTGCTGTTTTTTAACTATGATTAAGAAAAAAAACTAAGATTATTTTTTTTTGCTCTTAATATTAGGAGCAAAAAAATAATAATTTTAGTTTATAAAAAATGTCGTTATGCGTAATGATTACAATGCGTAATGATGTGTATATTTTATAATTATGAGTTATGGTTAATTATTTACCACAATTCAAAACATGGCGAAAGAGACTGCTAAGATTCTTTTCTTTATCGTGCTTGCCATTATCTTGATTTTATTTTGTACCTCTATCAGTGAAGAACCCAAATGTGTTTTAGTACCGTTTGAATGGTATGGGCGCCCAAAAATTATTTTAATTTTTTAATTTTTCTTTTGCTTTTTTATGAAAAATAGGAAAAAAAAATTTCAGTTTTTAATAAAGTAGTATATAAATAATTTTCAGTTTATTTTAGCTGCCTTGTTTTTTCTTCAGGACAATAAAATTAATTAAAAAGAAAATGTAAAAACTTTTTTACATAACTACGTGATGTAATTAGCCTTCAGTTACTAACTGTCGTAACTATCGCGCAAGCCTAATTTTTAAATGAATGAACTTTTAATCTTTAGCTTGCTATTTTAATTTACGCGAGGAAAACGATAAAACGAAGCATAAACTTTTTCAAAATGTTTTGTTTCTTTTTGATATTCTTTTAAAATAATAAAAAATAAAGATTTCAATAACTTAATAAAAGTTTTATTAAAATCTGTTTAAAATAACCTATATTAAATGAAATTTATTTATTAAACATAATTTTTCAAATTATTGTTAATAATTAAAAAAAAATATTTTTTAAAATAATATTTTTTATAATATAATATACTTTTTAATGAAAAAAGTAAAACATTATTAAAGTTATGTTTACCATAATCTCTTCTTTAATTATCTTTAATTTAAAAGGCACCTTTAAATCACTTTAAAAATTATTAACCTTAAGTAAAAGTTAAAGGAACTGATTTACTAATATTTAAATCAAAAGTTTAAAAATAAAATAATAGTAAATAAGTTTTTTAAATGCTTATGTTTATATATTCGAATAGTTTATTAAATACGTTTATTTAAATGCTTATTGAGTTTGTTTGTTAAATGCTTATGTTTTTAATTCAAATACAAGACGTAAAACTATTTTGTTAATTTTACAAATATTATGTGATTTAATATATGTAAATATATTATGTAATATAAATATTGATTAAAAATTGTTTGAATTAATTAATGTTATAAATAATTAGTAATTATATGTTCAAAAAATATTTGAACATATAATTACTAATTATTTATAACATTAATAACTACTAATATTAAATTTACGAAATTATAGTTAATGTTTAAAATATTTTAAACAATTTTCAATAGTTATTTACTGATAGCTTTCTTATTAAATCTAAAGTAACATCGTCCACCAGTAAATTTAAGTATTCAAAAAAATGCCTTTAAATAAACTCTGGGTTCTTTACTGTCTATAAATCTCTTATTCGTCCCTTTACATAATAATGTTTCATATTTGGGCTTGTTCTTTTAATGATGTTTTTTCTCTTCCAGAACAAAAATACATTAGAAACATTAGTTCAACCTGCCTTATCTGCTGAGCTTGAACCTCTCTCCTATGTTGATATAGCATCTGTTTCTTTTTTCTACTATCATAATATCAGCTCAAAGGAATTATAATCTCTAGTTCCATCAACAAAAACTCATTCATTAACTTGTCATTAACTAAAGTTGCACCCTTTAACTCAACCTCCACTTTCAAACTCTCTCCCACCTTCATGTTTTCCTGAATCATATCTTCAACTTTTCTGTCAACTATTAAACAACTGAGGTTGAAATTTGACCAGGGCCCGGTTTAAAAAAATATAACTGGAACCAAGACTGGGACCGGGTTTGTGACTGGGGCTGCATAAACATTTATACATCCTAAAGAATATTTTTTAAATTTGAAATTTATGTTATATTTTGTATATATATATGCATATATAAACATCATTTTGATCAACACGATCATCATAATCACCATTTTCATCGTTATCATCAGAATTAAGCCTTTCTCTTTTATGCTATTTCTTTAATATAAACAATCTAGAGCTTTTTCTTTCCTTAATTAAAGCTCATTCATACAATATGTATGGTACTCTTTTCAAGTTTTTTTATTTTCTACC